CGCATGCTTGTTTTTTGTTATCTTGAATTCCTGACAATTTCAGAGTCAGAAAAGTCTAAGTACAGTGGGATAATTGGAAAAGTCGGGTGATTACTACAACCATCATATGCCCTCCAATCTATTGTGGTGTTGTAGGGCGTGCATACGCTAGTATTGTCTACAGATCATTGTTAATGACGCTTGAAGAAGACGATACTAGATTATTTTTTAAGGTTGTTCAGGGTGCATAGCCAAATTATTCAACAAAAAATAAGCACCTTTTAAGCACTTTTCAAGCACTCAAAAAATATTTTTAAGCACTGTAAAAAAATATCATAACTAGGCTGGGTTGGAAAGTTTTGACAATTGGTGGTTTTACCTGGTTTTAACCGTCATGTCAAAAAAAAAAAAATTTTGCCATTGTTATAGACATTTGTCAAAAATCGTGATATTTAGTCATATAAAACGAATGGCGTTTTCATACGCTAGGAACTGACAATACGCCGAAATAGATTGGGGTTAAATTAATAGTGAAAACGTTGAATAGAACAATGTGAACTGTGTCTTTTTGCATAATTCGTAGCAAAAATCAGCATGGTAAGGAAAAAATCTCATTTTGAAAAAGGGAAAATTAAGCACTTTTTAAAAACACCCAATGAAAAAAGCACCTTTATGGGCATTTAAAAAACGAAAATAAGCACCTTTAAAAAACGCTATGTACCCTGTTGTTGCTTCCTGTAGATTTCGGAGTCAGAAAAGTCCAAGTATGGTAGGGCAGTGGGGGAAGAACCACCATACTTCCTCCGATCTAAATTGTGGTATTCTAGTGCGTGCATACGCTACTAATATCTTCTGATTATCGTTAAGGAAGAACTACAGACTGTGTAGCTCAAATACAACATAAGAGAGATTTTGCATAGCGTTCAACTTATGTTAACAACCGTAATTCTAACCTAATCTTCTACCCCTTAGTGACGCTGCAATTTGTAGCGAAATTTTCGAGAAAGCGCTGTGAAGTTCTAATAGCGTTTATGTTAAGAGGAACAGTAATGTTTTGTAATATCTCTTAAACAAAATCCAAACAAAACGATGTAGTTAAAATAAAGTAAAAGCTCTTAAGTGGAAATAATGTTTAAAAAACTGTATTTTTAGATTAAAGTTAATGTGCTTGTGTGGAGACTCTCCAGTAAGCTTAAAATACTAGATCATAAGCTCTAATTAGTTCTACTATTTTTATAGAGCCATGGGAATCTCAATTTAGAGAAGAAGAGCCAGCGGTGTTGTAATTTAATGATAATTAAGAAATATTCCGCTGGTGGCGCTGATGAATGTTGCGCGGGACCAGAGACCCATGAACTCTTGTTGTTACATCTTCTACCTTTTTCTTTGTGTTTCGTGCCGTCTATGTTATTAATAAAAATATATTTCAAAAGAACCTGCTCAAGGTAAGTGAAATTATTTCACACTTAAATTTAGTTCATTATAGAAATGACATTGGTTAAGTAATATTTAACNTTCCGAGGATTATGTTGTAGTTCATTTATGTCACACTAGAGCTGCACAATGGGCTATTAGCGACGGTCCGCACACTAGCGAAGTCGAGTACTTTACGGTAGAACAGTTTAACGAGGACCAATACCGCACAACCTCGGTCCCGACTCAGACTAATCCAAGAGGTCATCCACCGGTACACTGACCTAAACCAGTGATGCTTGACTTGGGTGATTTGCTGGGAACTGTGTCTTAACGATCAGTCCACTGCGGGACTCATTTTCGACGAAAGTGTTTTAGTTGAATTGAAACTTTCAAGATTTTTCATCGTGCATTGTGAAAGTTACGATTTCCCCCGTCTTACAACAGTCGATGTTGCAGTTGCATTCCATCCTTATATTGCACTATGCGTCACAAAGTGCTATTGGCGACGGTCAGGAGAACAACCCTAAATATGATAACGCTCCCGCTTTTATAACCCAACAACCTGAAACGAGAAGTCCAGCACTTGACATTAGAACAGTTCCGAAAAAAAAAACGATACCGCGTAGCCTTGTTTCCTTCACAGACTGATCAAAGTGGTTAGCCACAGTTTTGAAACACTTAATTTTTTTTTACGCGAACGTAAGTCATTGCATCGGACATCGGAGGGGTTTTTTCTTGTACTCCAGCTACTTTTTTTTTTTATCTTACTGTAGCCTCTGTAATTTGCCCCTCCATTTAACAAAATAAGAAAACAAATACATAAATAAAAAAGGCTAATTACTTTTATCTGTATTTATTTGTTACATTTTAAAAGAGAAAAAAAAATCAGTTTACGTCATAGGAGCTAACAGATTTCTAAATTATATATAACAAAACTTGTTGATCAAACTGTTTTTTTCCATTTAAAAAGTTTTGCTCATTTTACAATTGACTGCTTTTTAATAGAACATTAGCAAAGTTATTCTTCAATTAGTTCGTATATCATATGCTCATTAAAATTCTGGAGCTGGGCTCCACTTCATTAAAAGGAACAGGCAAAATCTTACCTGTTCGATCCATACCCAAGTATTACGTAATAACGTTTACATATGATGTGTGGTATTTTACAAGTGCTTCAAAGGTTCTGGGTTTAAAACCGTTTCCTCAAGACATTTTTCTTTATTAAAAAATTGCGGCAGATATTATTTTAGACACGCTCTCTCTAAGTTATACGAGAAATCGCGGATAGCAAGTAAAGCGATTCCAAGAGCCTCCGCGATCATTTGTTTAATTTTCTGTGTCTTAGTTAATTACACTCCTCAAAAAAACTTACCAAAATTGCATTTAAAATGCAGAAATAAGTAAATACCCACTTAAAAGAGATAGTGGTTTCGTATTTGAATTTAAAAAAAATTTATTCGCATTTTTAGCAGCAATCATAATTTTTTTGGCGACACACTTAGTTTATAGCACTGATTGATTAGTTTCTGATTACTTAATACGGTTTCAGTTTGTCGAGTGGTGGAGAATGTAGCATGTAACAAGAAGGAATTAAAGTTAGGAGATCAGGTACATTGTAGCATTCTTGTTCATTGTTGTAATTTAATGATAATTTAGAAATATTCCGCTGGTGGTGCTGATGAATGTTGCGCGGGACCAGAGACCCATGAACTCTTGTTGTTACATCTTCTACCCTTTTCTTTGTGTTTCGTGCCGTCTATGTTATTAATAAAAATATATTTCAAAAGAACCTGCTCAAGGTAAGTGAAATTATTTCACACTTAAATTTAGTTCATTATAGAAATGACATTGGTTAAGTAATATTTAACATTGGTGCCGAAAACCCGGCACGCTACTAGATTTGATAATAATTTCGGTATAAAAGCAGAAATATAGCAGTATTTGATTTCTAATTCTTATGAGAATCTTTGATTATTTTTGTTCTAACATATTTAAAGTTAAAATGTCAATTCCAAATCAGAATGTGGTTAATGAAACTACTCGTGCTTTGATGCTCGATAAATTAAAACGAAAGCGTTCAACTATTAGGGGTTTATTAACGAGAACGCTTAATAAGATTAACGAGCAATTATTGTTAGATGTAATTGACAAAGAGGCACTAAATGAGCTTCTTCAATTGTTATGTGAGAAATCGGAACAAATTTATGAGTTAGATATACAAATCGAAAGTTATATCGATGATTTAGATCAGTTAGAGGCAGAAGTAATTTCGAGCCAAGAAATAAGAGAAAAAATTATATCTTCTAAAACAAAAATTAATGCATGTTTAAAATCAGAGTCAGCTATAACGATAAATAATGTACCCTCGGTATCAGAAGCTGTAGCGATAAATAATGTATCATCGGTATCAAATGTACGAAACGAAGCGAGTGTCCGATTGCCAAAATTAACGTTGGAACCATTTGATGGTAAATATGAAAATTGGCAGGAGTTTTGGGGACAATTTGAGGGATCCATTCATGAAAATAGTAATTTATCTAGAACGGATAAATTTAGTTATTTGAAATCATTTTTGAAAGGGTCTGCTTTAGTTTCGATTCAGGGTTTAACGCTATCAGAAACGAATTATGATACTGCTATAGATCTCCTAAAAAAAAGATATGGTCAGAAAGATATTATTGTTAGATCTCATGTAAATAAATTATTAAATATGCATCCTGTTAAATCATGTACTCAGTTAAAAGAATTGCGTCAATTGTGTGATATTTGTTATGTTCAGGTTCGTTCCCTCGAATCAGCTGGAGTAGAATTAAATAGTTATGGGAGTCTTTTGTTTCCTATTTTATTGAAATTAATGCCCGATAGTATAGTTTTAGATTATAATAGGCAAAATAAAAATGACGAATGGGACTGCTTTAAACTCTTGCAGTTTTTAAGAGATGAGATTGAAAATAGAGAAAAAACCCAGCTATTTCGAAGCTCCAACGAAGAAAAAAGTGAATTAATTAAAAGCTATCCTAAGTACGGCGTCAATAAAGATCATAATTCATGGCGCGCCTTTTCGAAACCGAAAACAAATCCTGCTGCATTGGCATTAAGTGTGGGAGAAGAAGGGGGGAAGGAAATTAGATGCGTGTTTTGCGATTTTCAAAGTGATTCTTCGCGAATTAGTCATAACAGTGACCAATGCATTAAATCTGTCGAGGAAAAAAGAAATGCCCTGAAACAGAAAAGGAAATGTTTTTTATGCTTTAAAAATAATCACACTGTTTATAATTGTTATTCAAAAATTCGATGCGATGTATGTAAAGGAAGGCATAATAGTTTATTACATGTAAATAATAGTAGTAATAGTGGCAGCAGTAAAATAGAAACGAAATCAGATACTGCTGTAACTTCTGTTTCTCAGGAAAATAAAATTAATAATGATATCTATTTACAAACCGGAGGTTATTTTAGGAGATAATAAAATTAAGAAATTCAGATGTTTAATTGATAATGGTAGCTGTCGGACTTTTATCCTTGAGCGGGTTTCTAAGGAATTAAATTTAAAAATAGTAGGACAAGAAGAATTAAAAATTTGCACCTTTGGTTCAACTGAACCAATGATAGAAAAGCGAAATAAGGTGAAAGTTGTAATAAAACATCCATTTACGCATAAGCAGTTAGTCCTCGAAGCATTAGAAACACCGAATATCAGTAATGCTGTTGTTTGTGTACCAGCGAAAGACATTAAGACTCAGTGTTATAAAAATAAAATACACTTAGCTGATAAAAGCTTTCGTGATAAACATTTGCAACTTTCGCTTTTGATAGGCAGTGATTATTATTGGAAGGTGGTTACAGGGAAAATTCAAAGATTGTCAGGAACTTTAGTTGCATGTGAAACAATACTCGGTTGGACAGTTAACGGTTCCAGTGCTATGCCAAATCAGATGATAACTCAATCTTCCGCTAACGTTATGAAAATCGCTGTAGATACAATAGAGAGTAATTCCGATATTGAGTCAAATTTGATTTTAAGAAACTTTTGGGAGTTAGAATCTCTAGGGATTAAAAATGATGTAGGAGCCAAGGAAAGAGAAAACGAAGTATTAAATAAGTTTAATGAATCCATTTGTTTGAAAGACAATCGATATGAAGTAAAACTTCCCTTTAATGAAAGAGTCGAAGAATTAGAAGATAACTATGAGATAGCCTTTAATAGAATGAATAGTTTAACTAGGAAATTTAGAAAAAATCCAGAATTTCATAAAAGGTATCAAACAATTATCGAAGAGTATCTCGAAAAGGGAATAGCAGAGGAAGTTACAGACAATACTGAGAAAAGACTGTATTATCTCCCTCATCAAGGCGTACTTAGAGAGGATAAAGTTACAACTAAATTACGTGTGGTATTCGACGCCTCGTCGCATGCTAAGGGTGTACCGTCTCTAAATGACTGTTTGTTTTCGGGTCCAAATCTCAATCCTGATTTGTTGGGAATATTAATTAATTTCAGAATGCATAAAGTCGCAATATCGGCTGACATTGAGCAGGCTTTTACCCAAATATTGATTTCAAAAGCAGAGAGAGACGCAGTTAGATTTCTCTGGATTAAAGGTCAAATAGGAGAACAAAAAGAATATAAGATTTTGCGAATGACTCGTGTGATTTTTGGAGCAACCTCGAGTCCCTTTTTGTTAGCAGCAACCCTTAAGCATCATGCTCAAAGAAATAAAGAAGAATTTCCGAAAATAAGTGAATTAATTGAAAACCGTATGTACGTCGATGACCTCATATGTGGAACTGATAGTGAAATAGAGGCCATTGAAATACGGAGAGACATGAAAACGGTTATGCAGAAAGGTAGTTTCAATTTGAGGAAGTGGAAAACAAACTCATCTTGTTTGCAGCAAAAGTGGGATCTGGAAGAAACCGCAGAACTTAAATCTTCATCAGGTTGCTGCAAGATTTTAGGTTATATTTGGGACAATAGAAACGATTTAATAAGAATTCCAATCCCAGAACTCAACATATTGGACTCTAATCAGGAAATCACTAAGAGAATGATGCTACAAATAATTGGTAGGGTATACGACCCAATCGGATTAATTAACCCATTTACTGTTACTTCTAAAATCCTTATGCAAGAATGTTGGAGAGCCGGATTAGAATGGGATGATCCCTTACCATTAGATATTCAGAGCCAGTTTAAAAGATGGTGTGAAGATTTAGTTAATTTAAACGATATCGAAATTGATAGGTACTATTTTGGAAATGCCAGTTTTAGTGAGATATCTAACATTCAACTCCATTGTTTTTGTGACAGCAGTATGAAAGCTTATGGGGCAGTTATCTATCTGAGATACATTACATCAAACGAAATAAAAACATCATTCGTTATATCTAAATCACGTGTGTCACCATTGAAAAAAATGACCTTGCCTCGCTTAGAGTTAATGGGAGCTGTAATAGGGAGTAGACTCACTAAGTATATCATGCACAAAATAAACTGTAAAATACGCGAATGCTTTTATTGGACTGACTCCACCATTGTCCTTCATTGGGTGAAAGGGGATCCTCATAAATGGAAACAGTTTGTCAGTAACAGAGTCACGGAGATCCAGGAAATAACTGACCCTTCATCTTGGAATTTTTGCCCAGGGCAGGAAAATCCGGCGGATTTTCAAACTAGAGGATGCAGCGCTAAGGATTTAGTTTCAAATAAAAGGATTTGGAACGGACCACAATGGCTAGCTTTAAGTGAAGAAAAATGGCCCAAAGACAAAGGAAATTTCAAAGGAGAAAATATTGACAAAGAAAAAAAATCGGATCATATTGCAGTAAATTATGTAAGCAATGACAAGATAAAAAATCCAATGTTCGATATTGAGAAAATCAGTTCTCTTACAAGAGTTTTTCGAATAACAGCTTGGATAAAAAGATTTCTGAATAATTTAAAATTGAAGAAAGATGATCGAATCAAAGATGAATTGACTGCCGAGGAAATTGAAGATGCAGAAAAAACTTGGATTAAATATGTACAGGCAGAAATGTTTTCGTCAGAAATTAATTGCATAAAAGGAAATAGATGTTTAAATAAGGAATCAAGTATTAAAGACCTCAATCCTTTTATAGACAATGAAGAAATAATTCGTGTAGGAGGTAGGCTACAGAAAGCAAGTTTTACCTTTGATGAAAAACATCCAGTAATTCTTCCAAGAAAACATAAGTTCACTGAATTGGTTGTTTGGAGAGCACATGAAAAATTATTTCATTCTGGCGTTGCAGAAACTCTTACTCAAATTCGACAACGGTTCTGGATTGTAAAAGCAAAACAGTGCATTAAAGCTACATTGAACAGATGTGTCATATGCAAACGGTTCAGTTCAAGACCTGGCACTCAACCGATGGCTCCTCTTCCAGAATTTCGAATAGAACAATCACATCCTTTCAACGCTACAGGCTTAGACTTTGCCGGGCCTCTTTACATCAAAAACAGCGATGTAAAGCATTACATTTTACTGTTCACTTGTGCGGCCACAAGAGCTGTGCATTTGGAGCTTGTGAACAGTTTGACTACAGAAAACTTTTTATTAGCCTTTAGAAGATTTATTGCAAGAAGAGGATTGTGCTCAGTGATGTACTCAGACAATGCTAAAACCTTTAAAAGGGCTGAGCTTGATTTGAAAAACATTTGGAAAACTATCAATCACCCAGATGTTAAAAAATTCTACGCTCTCCATGGAATTACATGGAGATATATTGTAGAAAAGGCCGCTTGGTGGGGTGGTTTTTACGAAAGACTAATTCGATCGGTGAAAACTGCATTGAGAAAGACTATAGGAAAAACTTCGCTAACTTTTGACGAACTAGAAACTTTGCTGGTGGAAACAGAAGCTATTCTGAACTCACGTCCAATAACTTATATTGGGACTGATGCTGAGGAACTATGTGCGTTGACTCCTGCACACTTCCTTATAGGGAAAAGAATTACTTGTTTACCATCAGTCAAGCTTAACCTTGATACGAATTTCTCTTCCAGGAAAACTTTAATTAAAGCTCATAATTATCGTGAGAGATTAATGAAATCCTTTTGGTCAAGGTGGAAAAATGAGTATCTCCTAAATTTAAGATCAGCACATTTAAGTTTAATTAAAAATAATGTACCTAACTTTAACGTTAACGATATAGTTATAATTAAGGATGATTTTCTACCACGCAATTTTTGGAAACTTGGTAAAATTTTGGAATTGTTTCCTGGAAGAGACGGCAAGGTTAGAGCATGCAAAGTGAAAACTGATACATCAGTTATTAAACGTCCAGTTCAACTTCTATATAATTTGGAACTTTAAACTTTATATTCTATTAATATTTTAATGTGAACTTACATTATACTTTTAGAACATTTTCATCATTATTGTTGTTCATAACTATACATATTTAGTATTTTTTATGTTTTTCAGAGTTAAGAAAAGAATGTTTAAGTTAGCTTTGTACTCTACCCTTGATGAACTCCTGTGAGTTCATCGGGGGGGAGTGTGTTGTAATTTAATGATAATTAAGAAATATTCCGCTGGTGGCGCTGATGAATGTTGCGCGGGACCAGAGACCCATGAACTCTTGTTGTTACATCTTCTACCCTTTTCTTTGTGTTTCGTGCCGTCTATGTTATTAATAAAAATATATTTCAAAAGAACCTGCTCAAGGTAAGTGAAATTATTTCACACTTAAATTTAGTTCATTATAGAAGTGACATTGGTTAAGTAATATTTAACATTCATTCAATAGTTACTGAAAAAGTCACTTCAGTTTTTCTTACTTTATAAGAGGATTTGTTTTTTTTTATGTATACACAGGTTCCACGATAGCCTAGAGGTTATTCTTGACCTTTTTTTTCAGAGTCTTATGTAAAATAGGGTACGGTAACCAAATTTTTCAACAAAAAATAAGCATTTTTAAGCACTTAAAAAATATTTTTACGCACTATATACATCAACAAAATAATTTTCAAAGACTTTACATGATCATGATAAAATAACTAGTAATGATAAAATAACTAGTTTCTGACAAGGAACTCCTTTTCTTGATTATATTAGCCATTATAAAATGATCAAGAGATTTTTTGGTTCAATATCAGAGGGTGGAAAATGAAGCTTGAAAATGAGAATATCTTGCAAAATGCAGCAGAGTTGCACATGAGAGTGCAATAATCTCACCGAACCCAGCTTTGTAGACGCACATGCGGACTTGCAAGTATTTCATCAAACATGTTGTTGTTGTTGTTACTTTACGTCGCACTAGAGCTGCACAATGGGCTATTGGCGACGGTCTGGGAAACATCCCGGAGGACGATCCGAAGACATGCCATCACAATTTTGATCCTCTGCGGAAGGGATGGCACCCCCGCTTCAGTAGCCCGACGACCTGCGCGCGAAGTCGAGCACTTTACGGTAGCACAGTTTAACGAGGACCAATACCGCACACCCTCGGTCCCTACGCAGACTGATCCAAGTGGTCACCCACCCGCACACTGACCGTAGCCAGTGATGCTTGACTTCGGTGATCTGCTGGGAACCGTGTCTTAACGATCAGTCCACTGCGGGACTCATCAAACATGTAAAATGATTGGCGCTTTCATGCGCTAACGACCGATGGTACCACAAGGTATTGTGGTTGAATGAATTGTGAGAACGTTGTATAGAACAATGTAAAAAAGAACGCTTTTACATAATACATGGCGAAAATCGACATTTCCTTTTTGAAAAGGGAAAATTAAACTCTTTTTAAAAACACCCAATGAAAAAGGAACCTTTAAGAACTTATAAAAAAACGAAAATAAGCACTTTTTAAAAACACTGCACACCTTGTAAAAGCATAGTCTTCAAAATGTCCACACATTAAAGATAAGTCATTTAATCTAAATTTTAATTATTTTTCCTAATTTCCACAGAAATGATTTTTTTTCTTTTACCTAAAATTTAATTTATGGCTCCATTTGATTGGTTATAATTTCATATTTCTAGATAATTAAAATAAATGAATCAAAAGAGATGGATCCAGGTACTTATTTACAGACTTCAGCTGCATCCATGTAATAAAACTTTTCTGGGTTGCTATTTATAGTTATCATGTATCTCAGAACAAAATACAACCTATATATGGCGATAGTAATAGGTAATTTCAGGGTATCACATATGAAGAAAAAAAAGTAAAGATATTTCTAACTAGAAAATTACTTTTCCAGTATTGTGTATATTGACAGTTCACAATGGCAAATAAAATTGTTGTACTAAGCAAATGCACATATTTAATGTTAAAATAACAACAAAAAAATGGCTGAGAGATGAAATAAAGCAGATGCCATACAGAAACGAGTTTTGTAAGACACATGAACATTGAATGTAGATTTAAAGAGTGAGTGGACAAAAAGGGAAATAAGGAGTGCGGTAGATGCGTGGTAAACAGAAAGTGCATTTTTCAAAACTGAGTGACAGTATTTTTATTTAAACATCAGAAAAATGTATTTTCCTCAAAGAAAATAATTTGCAACAACAGTGGACAAGAAGCGTATAGAATAAGCTTGATAAAGTGAGTATAGCTCACATGAAGGAGCTTTGCTATTACTCCAAATCAAAATAGTTATATTTAAGATTGTATGTTGAAGAGTAAAAAGCAACTAGCCTTCCGGTGTTATGACAAATTTTCAAGTCACTGTCAAAACAGTTATAATAAGATACAAAAATTACTTGTTTGTTTATAAGTGGAAAATGGTTAGCCTTTCACTACTACGGGAAAACTTTTTAGATTCAAATGGAAGAAATTTTCTGGCATAATGCAGAAAGATAAAAACGAACGATTGTTCCTTCAACAATTTTATCCCCTTATTTTTTTAAAGCAATGCCAAGTAATTATATTCGTAACCAAAGAAAAGTTCTTTCGCTTTTTCTAAAAAACATGTTATATACAACTAAAAAAAGCAACCTTTTTAAACATAAAACGTGTATTATTGGCTTGCAAAAACAAAGAGAAGTTGAAAGTCAATTATTAAAAATACCTCTAAGTTTCATTGGGTAATTAAATTGGTTTATATAATTTTAGTCACACTTTTCTCAGTTTTGATTTTAAGACTGTTTTTTACTTGTTTACATATTGATTATGAACCCTAGGGTTATTACTTTTTTTGGTGATTTGTTTAATGGCAAAACATCTCACTCTGGGCCATATATGGCAGTACTTTTACTTTCGTTACTTGTACCGCCGGTACAAGTAAGAAGTACGTACTTTTACTTGTACTTCGTTACTTTTAAAATTTAGTACTTTTACTTGTACTTTCGTTACTTTTTTAGGGAAAAAGTACAAGTATTTGTAACGGAAATGTCGAATGAAATCGTTACTTTTTTTAAAAACTCGGTAAGCTTTCTTAAAAAAAATTATAATAAATAAATAAATAAAAAATTGCTTTCAAAATGCCATTATTTTGCAAAATGAATAAAAATATTATTTAGCAAGTTATTTTCATTCATTTTCGAGCTTTATGCATTTGTTTAATACATTTTAAACAAAAAAATTTTGGATTTTGTTATTACGTTTTTCAATTTTCTTTTTGAACTCACTAATACGTTTTGTCATAATACGTTTTGTACTAAATACATTTTTACCTAGTACATTTTTTACTAAAATTATGTTTATGCCCGACCTTGTCAAACAACGCCCAGTCAAATGTCTAGGAACTTCAGAACTACTTGTGCTACTGAAAGCTATAATAATTACTATTTTAACTCTTGAAAAATCAAAGTTATTAATTTAGCCACTGATACTAAAATTTGTTTACAAATTTCAATTATTCCGTTAGGCAGAAATGTTCGGAAAATGATTTTCTCACATGACTTCAGCATTAGGCATTGTTACAAATAAAACTGTAGACTGTTCTGTTTCAACTTATACTGCACATTCAATTACTTTTTACTAGCTTAAAGATCGCAAAGCTATTTGAAACTCCGTGTTTTCTTTGTTTATGTTTGTGCTTTTAAAACGCGTTTCTACTGAGTAAAATAATTTTAAATCAATGGTAATTTAAATAAATAAAAATAATAAACTGAAAATTAAAATCAATAGATAAAATTTCTTTTTCGTGCAAATCCATAAAAAGTTTGATATTAAAATTATATTTGATTTTAAAATTATATTATACGATTATATTATAAAGTTATATTATAATATTCTTCCGAATTTAAAAATAAATTTAATGTCCATAACTTTCAAAATTCAAACTAATTAAATAAATAACAACAATTTTGCAAAAACATTAAAGAGCACAAGAATATTATTCAATAAAATTTTAGGTTACTTTGAATTTTCGATTTCCTAGAAATGTACTTTTAAATCGTTACTTTTTTTGTTTAGTACTTGTACTTTTACTTGTACTTTTTACTCGTTACTTTTTAAAATAAGAACTTTTTACTTTTTACTCGTTACTTTTTTTAAAAATACTTGCACTTTTACTCGTTACTTTTTAAAAGTAACGTTGCCATATATGCTCTGGGCCTTGGTTTGCTGTACAATGTTATTCCAAGCATTCCTGTTCTTAAAACTTAGATTTCAACAGTAAGTAATTTTTCTTACTTCTGTTATATATTTTATTACATTAATTAACCAACCCCGTTTTGGTCTTACTAAATTACTGACATATACAACTGATGCGACATAGTTCGTTTCACACGAATACCAATTTTGCGCTAATTTCAACAACGACACAATTACCTACTAGTGTTGTAATACAAAATGTACAATTCTGTCATTGTTTCTACAAATAAATTTGGCCTTTTTAAAGCTCTTGACGTGCTTACTCTATTTAGGTTGATTTTGCAGTTACGTCATTGTTTCTTTAAATGAGCGACATTTAGTATTTTCCATACATACTAAATGAATCCATTGGCTACTATTATTGGTATGTGTCTTAAATGATAAATACATAATAAATAATGAACAAAATTAAATAAAACAAATTATATTCATTTTATTCAAAGGCAGGCACAGACCACAACAAATCTGATTAAAAAATAATCACACATTAAATATAAAGTCACAGCAAATCAAAATGGAAAACATGCACAATGATATAGATTGTGACTTAATTTTCGATAAAACTTTAAAATGTCTCTCAATGCACTTTAATTGCCATCAGCATATCATAAGCAGTCAGTCAAGGAACAATAGAAAAATATATGATATAGTATAGTCAGTTTGTTTCATAAATATAAAATTTACAGATTTGTATATAAAAATAAAATAAATATCTTTCACTCGAAAAAAAATTTAGAGTCTTTACAAAAAAGTGAATGATATATTTCAC